ATATAGATGAAAAAAGATTGGACATGGGTTAATCATTGTTGAAGTTGGGTAATTAATACCTGGGGGTTCAATAGACTATTCCCTTTATGTTTATATAGGTTTAAATTTTTCCATAATAAAATAGATAAGAAAGCGAGACAGAAAGAAGGAGGCAAGGAAGGAAGGTAGGAGGGGAAAGACTGAGTGAGGGGGGAAGTAAAGAAGAGAAGCAGAGATGGAAGAAGGGAAAAAGGCAGGAAGACGGAAAGAAATCCTTCCCATGTAGTGTATGTCACAATCTGTAGAAACAACTGTCATATGATTGGATGAGTGGGTAACTGGATGGAAGGTAACTGACCCACTCTGCAGAACCATTTTCTAGAACAGAAATAAATCCCCAGGCCACCCCCTCCTTCCCCTACAGTAAGTTTAAGATTCTGAAGCTTATAGACATGGTGTGTTGTTTGCACGTTTGAATATTCATGATCTCATCAAAGAAGAGCTTCTTCAGTAGACCTAAGTGCCCATCAGCCCCTGTGGCCTCTTAACAAGCTCTCTTGCTCCAGAACACGGAGGCCGCTGGAAGGCAGGTTTGTTGGCCACTTTTCATCCTTTCAGACGTTAACCTCATGGGTGGCACAGAGGACAGCTCGGAGATTAGAGCAGGCTGTTCCTTGTATAATTCCAGAGACATAGTGGAGCACAGGGAGAAGAAAAGATGTCACAAGTCTCCAAGATACACTGAGCCTGGAGAAGAGAAGCTGGCACATGGTGTCAGAGCCAGTGCAATCAGTGGAGGAAGGTCTTCTTTATAATCCTGAGGCAGAGCGCGAGGACACCCATCCCCTGCTAGGAGAAGTGGGCCCCCTGAAAGCTCAGAGAGCGTCTCCAGGTATGCGAGACCTGGCCCATCGGGCAGGTGAGGCTGGAACGCATGTGCCTGCCCCAGCATCTTTGGAAGAGGCTCTTTGGGGAGGAGTGGAGCCCCAGGTCTGCCCCAATGCTCTCCGCTCCAACCTCAGTGCCCTCAACAAGCTCTGTGGCCCCAACAACTGAGGACCCTGGGCCAGCTGCTTGGTTTCTCGGGGAGACGGGATAGCACTTCCCACCTCACAAGCTGGTTGCAAGGATCATGAGCAATAATTTCACTGAGATGCTTCCCTGAGCTCTATTTATCCCTGTGGGGTAGACTGAGCAGTTAAAGACAGAAAAGGCATGTTTCCTTCCCCTCCTCACAGGGAGGGCCCAGAGCATCTTCCTCAGAGCTCCGCCTCCCAGAAGCCCACCCTGGGGGCACTTGGCTCTCTTCTCTCTTCTCCCCGGCCACCCCCCAAACCAGGATTGCCCATGACACCTGCTTGTCCCACTGTCTACACAGTCTCAGGGCGGTTTCCCAATCACCTGGCTGTTCCTCTTCATGCCCCTCGTGGCTCTTTGGGCCCCAAGAATTGGTTTTGGATCTCCACTGCTTTTCTTTAGAGCTAGTGGATAAAGTAAGTCCAGTTAGACAAGTCCTAGTGTATTTGCCTCTCTCTCTCTCATTAACTTGTCAGCCTCTTCCTTCCACAATCCTTTGTTCACCCTTCTCTTTCCCGCCACCCCACCTCACCCCCGTCTACTCTCCCCTCCCCATACTTCTCTGATCCAGGCTGTCCTCAAGATCTAGCAGAGCCTCACTTTCTCCAGGAAGCCCTCACTGATTGCCAGCCCCACAGACCTCCCCCCTTCCTCTTCGTTACATACTGCCCTCAGTTGCTCTTTCTTTGCTTTACGCATCCCAAGTGATATCACCCCAGATAGAAAGGAGCTCCAAAATACTTTCTGATTAACGCATTAAACTGAGCATGACAGAGTGGGCTGAGGATGGATAAACACGATGGTACTTAATGCTTTCTCAGCACTTCCTCGGAACCCTTTCCATTTCATTTCATTGGGTTGACGTTAAGGCCCCAGAAAGGGAGCACAGACCAGCACCCTTCCCGTCCTTCCCTTTTCCTTCATTTCTAAGTCTCCTCTGGCTCAAACACAGTACATCTGGAGTAGTACTCTGTACCATGCCCTTACATCCCTTACCTCTTTTGCTTCTCACGACACTGAGATGTAGTCCGAGTATCCCCATTTTACAGATGTGGGAACTGAGGCACATAGGGGATAAGTAACTTACCCAACATCACTCAGCTAGACAGTGACACAGCCAGCTCCAAACTAGACAGCCTGCCTCGAGAGCCTGTGCACGCAACCACTCCCAGCTGCCTCCGGGGCTGCCAGGGCCTGCACCTGGGAAGAGCCTCCTGGAGGAGGCCCAGAAGGGCAGGAGCATAGTGACAGGTCAGGAGAGGGAGTATGTGCTACTGGGATCTAGTGGGTAGAAACCAAGGATGCTGCTAAACATCCTGCAGTGCACAGGAGAGCCCCCGCCATGACAAAGAATGATCTGACACAACCTGTCAATAGTGTTGGGGTTGAGAGACCCTGGTGTAGAGCAAGGAGGTGAAAGGGGTGAAATCCAAGCAGCCTCCACCTTGAGGAAGGGGCACCTTTTCCTAATTCAGCCAAAAACACGGTGAGAGCTAACATGAGCCCTGTGGGGTGCTGTGCTAGTGCTGGAGGTGGGAAGACAATGTACCTGCCATCTCCTAGGCTGTGATTTATGCAAAAAGCAATTTAAGAGAGACATTTAGTCTTTAATAGGGGGTCAAAAAGTCAACCCATGTGATTATGCTATTTTCTTGCTGGCAAAAACTGACATTTTAAAGCACTCTGACATACCAGTACAGGTGGGAAATGGATGTGATCAAGAATCTTCATTGAATCACTGTTTCTAACAGTAAAGGATCAGAAACAATGAAATTGTCCATTAATAGAGGACAGGCTGGATAATCAATGGAATATCCTGCATCTGTGAAAAGGAATGAGGGTACATTCAATGTAGATATATGGAAAGGTCTCCAGGATATACGAAGTGAAACAAGCAGAGTGCAGAACACTGGAGAACTGTGTGCCATTACATGAGAAGGGGAGGATAATAATTATTATCTAGTATTGGTAATGGCTGATATTTGCATAAAGCAGTGGTTCTCAAATTTGGAGAACCTGGAGTTTCATCACCTGGAGGGCTTGTTAAAACACAGATTCCTGGGCCTTACCCACAAAGCTTTTGATTCAGTACCTCTGGGTCGAGCCTGAGAATTGGCATTTCTAACAAGTTCCCAGGTGACACTTGTACTGTTATTCTGGGGGCCGCACTTGAGAACCACTGCATATAACAATCTCTGGAAGCATTAACAAAGAACAGGTAAAATTGGATGCCTCTGCGGAGGGGAACTGGGGGACCGGAGGCAAGGGTGAGAAGGACAATTTTTACTACATACTTTTCTCTATTTTTTGAACTTTGAACTTTGTGAATTACTTATTTGAAAGCAACTAAAACCCAGAAAGCTATGAAGGTAAATAAAGGCTATAGGAAACTTAATTTCCCTGCTTCTGGACTTGTATGTCTGCACACTGGGCCTGAAGGAACCCTGGTGGTGCAGTGGTTCGGCACTCAGCTGCTAACCGAAAGGTTGGCGGTTTGAACCTGCCAGTGCTCCACTGGAGAAAGATGCGGCAGTCGGCTTCTGTGAAGATTACAGCATTAGAAACACTATGGGGCAGTTCCACCCTGTCTTATAGCGTATTGTAGGGTCTTATAGGGCTGCTATGAGTCGATTTGATGGCAACGGGCTTGGTTTGATTTTTACACTGGGCCTGAAGCTGTCAGAGCAGGGGCCCCTGCATGGGCCGGGCCTCTCCTCCAGGATATTGTTCATCGAGACCCCATGCACGCTGGGGATCAGACCATTGTGATCCACAGAGTTTTCCCTGGCTGGCTTTCAGAAGCAGATAGGCAGGCCTGTCTTCCTAGCCTGACTTAAGTTTGGTGGCTCCATGGTTCAGCAACAGAGGTGCTGGAACCAAGCCTCCAATGACAGATGGGTGGAGGCTGCGCGTGTGGTGCATTTGCCTGAATGGAACCCAGGTCCCCTACACGGAAGGTGAGAACACTACCAGGGAAGCACCAGTGTCCCCATCCTCCAGCACACAGCAGGCGGCAATAAGCAAATGGATGAGGCCTCCCTATGTGCAAAGTGGGGCTAGGCCTCTGGGACTGTGAGAGGATTCAGGCTCCCCATCCTTCCTGAGCCCCTGCTGCACCACCTCGCCCTCATACGGCCCCCTGATTATTCAGGAGACCCTGGTTTCAGTCCCATCCAGGCCACTTAATCCCTGCACCCTTGGGCTAGTGACACAACCTCCCTGGACCGGAGTTGCTCCATCCGGGGATAATAAGAGAACTACGTGAGTTAATGCGGAAAGCGGCTAGTCCGCGGTATGGCACACAGTGCTGGGTGACTTTTCCCGAAGGATTTGATTTTTACTGGAAAGTCAGCCACAGTTGGGGAGTGGGTTGAATGAAGTCTGAAGGGTTGGGCTTTCAGGGACAAAGCATGCAAGTCAGCCCCTGGGGTGGTGGGGCTTTTTCTAGCCATCTCCACTTCAAACAACATCAGCCTGCCCTTTATTTTTGGAGGGGGACATAGTGCCCCACTTTTCTTGTCCTGAGTTGAACTGGCCAGATTTGCCGACCACGGCCGCCCACCAGCCTCGGTCACCCGCGCGAGGCTGTTGACAAAGGCCTGTAAATGGGCCCTTTCCCTAATCACTCCATCAAATCCGAGGAGGGTATTTCCCAACCATCAAGTGGCCGCTGAATGTGAGAAGTTCGTGGCGTTTGAAGAAATCCCTCAGGAACCGACGAGGCGGGGCCAGTAAAGCACCCCCCCACCCCAATCTCTTCCTTTATAGGGACTCGAACTGAAGGTCTGGATGGAAGTGGCCGCGGGCCAGGGACAAATCC